AGAGAAGAGAGGAAAAAAGAAGGGAAGGCAAAAAGAGAAGAAGCTAGGCTAAACTAGGATAGGATAGACTACACAAATTTAGGCTGGATTAGGCTAATCCCAAAGAGAATGCAATGCTCTAGTTAGCAATCCATTAACAGTCTTCAGAGGAAATGAGTTGTCTATCGATGTTAAACCCAGTTTGTTTGCTCCTGTTGCTGCCACTCTCTGCTACGTGAGCTGATTTGGGCATCCCCAAGGTTATTGGGCCTTTGCTTCTCTTTGGGCCTTGCTGCTTGTCTTTGGGAAAAGCAGGAGCCTCCCTTTGGGTCTGGGGGAGGAATCCTTCCCCCTTCCTCCCTTCCTTTGCCAAGGCAACCAGTCAGTGTTTGCCTCTTTTATTTCCCAACCCACAACATCTCAAATCCTGATCTGTTCCATCTTGGGCCGTGACAGCGAGGCACAAAGCTTGGGAAAACTAGTGCATCCCACCGCCGAGAAGAGTGGTTGATCCGAAGCCCCAGTAGATGCCTCCTAGGAGGGAATCAATGGTTGGCAAGGAAGAAGAAAGAGAAGTGATCGCAAAGGGAGGATGTTTTACACAATGAAGAAGGGATGAAGGGGAGGGGGAAGGATGAGAAAACACCTATAAAAAGATGCCTTTTCGTGCCCTTGCAAACCTTTATAGCATCCGGGGTTCATTTGCACAGATGTGAAGGAAACCTGCGGTCGGAAATAATATGCCAGTTATTTTTATTCCGGCCACCGGAAAGTCATGAAATCCTCAGGTCATCTCAGGAGAAAGCATTTACGAAGTTTTGAATTCCCTTCCCAGGAGAAAGATCACCCAGGAGGGACTTCAGCCCAGCCTGCACCTTGCTGGGCTGCTGGTTTTCTAATTGCAAGGAAAGGATTTGTTTATAGGTTTAATGCCAAAGGGTTGGTGACATTTTTTTAAACCCTGCAGACCGAAGTATTCGATTCTTCTAGAAGTCGGTACAGATTCTTTGTCTTCCAGGTCCTGGTTGTCCCAAAGGTGCTTTTTTGTCAGGGGGCAACTGGACTTTCTTTGTTTTTTTTCTTTTGAAGATGTTTTGCTTTTCATCCAAGGAGCTTCTTCAGCTCTGACTGGATGTTGGGGGAATGGAAGGATTGATATTCCTTGCAGACAGTTGGTCATCTGCATCCTTTGAGAGGGTCGTTGAGGCCACTTGGAGGTTCATCTGTGTCCTCAGAGTCACCTGAGTGGTGCTCCTGGTTCCTGGAGTCTGCAATTTTTTCCTCTAGAAATCCATTCCTATTTCCACACCATTCCATGGGTGTCCATCCCAAATTGTATAGCTAAAAGTCTGTGGAGATTCTCAGTCATCCAGGTCATGGCTGTCCCAAATGTGCTTTTTCAGGAGGCAACTGGACTTTCTTGTTCTTCTTTGAAGACCTTTCACTTCTCATCCAAGAAGCTTCTTCAGCTCTGACAGGATGGCAGGGGATGGAAGGATTTGAAGATATTTCTTTGATTCTTCTAGCTAACCAAGAATTAACCCAGCCAAGGATAGAATTCTCTTTGGTAATGAGAAGATGGTTTGTTGTGTAAAGCCTTACGGATCTTAAATCTGATGCTAGGTTGTTTATTTCCAAGAAGTAGAAGGAACGGGCCACAGCCTTACGTTCAGAGCTCTTGAAATGCTGTCTTAAGCAGAGAAAGGATGCAGAGTTAGGAATTTACACATTTAAGTAGGAGAATCGTATAATATAGTTATACAGGGCTCCTAGCAGTGCCTTATATTTCATGAAAAACTATCGGTGTAAAATCAAGGATCGTTCGGTGTCTCTTTTACCAGCTCGTAGGAACGCAAATGTTCAGCTCGAATAATCAAATCCACATATACAGACTTCATTGATCTACTTTATTGTTTGTGCCTATTTCACAGGAATCTTTCCAGATTGGCAGTTTGTACCTGGGCCAGACTAGATAAGCTTCAATAGCATTCAAACAGGGTTCAGACTTTGCCCTCTTGGTGTGTTTCCAAAAAAAAAAAAAATTCTTACTGGTTCGGAGAGCTTGCTTCGCGCACGCCAGTTGTGCTTCGTGCACACATGCGCAGTGCTCAAACTCCGCCCTCTGGATCAAGGCTAGTGAGCTGTGCAGGGGCGCCTATTGTGTGCACAAAACACGCAAATTGCGCAGGCACACCATGAGCTCAGTGGTGAGCTGTGCTGTTTTTAGCTCAGCTGAGATGCAGCAATCTGCGTAAATCAGCTGAGCTAATAAACAGTTTAGTTTATTGTCATTGCACCTTATACAATGAAATTCAGTACCATCTTCAGTGTACATTATGACACTGAAAATAAACACAAACCCACATCCTTCACATTCTACACATTGAATGGAAAACCCCTGATATTGCATTAATGTTGCACTATACAGTAGAATTCAATAGAGTTACTGTCCTGGGTAGAAGCTGTTTTTCAGCCCATTTGTCCTTGTTTTTATTATTATTCTGTACCGTCTGCCAGATGGTAACGGTTCAAAAAAAAAAAGGGTGCCCAGGATGAGATGGATCTTTGAGGATTTTAACCCTCTCAAGCGCTTTCCTATCTGCTACTGTGCAATTTGCAAACCATACAGAGGTGCAGTAAGTTAAGATACTCTCTATGGTGCAGCAGTAGAAGGTCACCAACAGTTTTTCATTCAGTTGTTGTTTTCTGAGAAGTCTCAGGTAGTATAATCTCTGCTGGGCCCAGTATAGGAGAGGTGAGAGGTAAGAGCAGTGACAGGTGGGTGAGGCCAGTCAAAATTTCCCCTACTGGTTCTCTGAGCCAGTCAAAATTTTCCCCACCGGTCCGGTAGGACTGGTCAGAACCGGCTGAATACCACCACTGCTCTTGTGCCTCCCTAAGGATTCCAGACTAATGCATTGCTTGACTCCTCCCCTTCTCTCAGCCGGTCTCTCTCCTTCAATCTCCTTTATTATTATTGTTTGATTGATGACTGGGGCATTGACCATTGACAAGTATGAATCCAAATGCCAGGGTGCTTGTAGGGTTATGTCTGCTCACCTTCTGCTTCCTCCTGTTTGGTCTCCCAGATGGAAGATTAGTATTGTGCACCCTCAATAATTAAATAAACCAGGATCTGTTGGTGCTGACAGCCTCCCGTGTGCAAACAGCCCCTGTTTGACTGTTGCATCCTTTTTTTTAAGGAAGCAAAACTCTTTCCCGTCTTTCTCCTTCCGTCCCCCTCCCCTCCTTCCAATATTGCAGGCAAAACAATGCACCGCAAGAGGTTGAT